CGTGACACCATGTTTAACGCAGTTAAGGGGAGGAATATGTTAGGAAAATATGAGATACGGACTATAAATGCGTTTTGAGACATCACTATTCTAATTTATGCAATTTGCCTAAAAGGTAAACATATATATTTAGAATGTTTATAGCCTATATTTTTATGGAAAGAGATAGACCTTATTTTTTTGCAGTGTAAATAGCTGTCTGACTCACCGCGTCAATAACAAAACATTTTGAAAATAAAACGCGCATATCTTACATTTTCCTTCAAATTCTATCTTTTAAATATGGTGTTTGTCACAATATTGGGAAGAGCACGAAAGGGGTTATCATTAGGCTACTGTCTGTGTGTGACACCTGTGAACAGAGGTTTTAGAGTACTGTCATCAAAGCTGTTCAAACCAGCCAATGAACTGTTTGATCAACGAGCGCATCCTTATGTCTGTTGTTACCGTATATGTTCCAAAGCATCAGACGAATCAAGTTCACATCAGTGATCATTACTGACGCAAAAGTATTTTCTCAGAACGAGTTTTGCTATTTAGAACACAATTTAAAGCGGAATTGTCATGCGCCAAGCAATCCTCGCTGTGATTAAAACATTAAATCGTATACCACAGGAAAATAGTTCGAAAGCCGCACATCCACTGCAAATATTTATTTTTAAATTCATATAAAAATGTTGTAATTTCTGGATAATAATTTCATGAAATTTCAGTGCTTAACTTCATTATCATATTTAATCTAAACGTGTATGTCAAATGTTAAACAGACTTTAAAATCATTCTGTTTGCTTCTTTATTTCGCTCCCTCCAGTAAAAGAGTGCTTACGCATGGTCTAGAGTGTCCGTACGGTGCGCACATATTTATGCCTAGTTTATTTTTTATGAATCCCGATATGTGCGTGGAAAATTGCCTACGCACAAAATGGGCATGGAAATGCACCGTTTATACATCAGGCCCCTGGAGTGGGTGGAGAGGAAATCGGTAGACAACAGAAAATTGGCTTTCTCAGTTCACTGCCTTGGGTGCTGATTGTTAACAGTGGCATCTCTGGCCAGCTATCCGTGGACATTTCCATGCCCATTTTGTGCGTACGCAACGTTTATACATCAGGCCACAGTTGTCAGCGTACGGTCTGTACCAGGAATGGGACTGGAGAATCAGAGTGCGATTCAAACATGGAATACTTTAATAAACACAGGAACCAGGAGACAGTGATAACACAACTAAACATGACGGAGAACGGACAAAGACTAATGCCGAGTTCACGCTGCACGATTTTAGCATTCCGATTTTTCACTCGCCGACAGGTTTTGCGAAATCGCTGACAAATGCCCGAAATCGGAGGCAAATCGG